CCTAACCAATGACTCCAACCTCAATTTATAAAATTAGTTTAACTCTATTTGAGTGTACATCTCTCCAAAACATGTTCAAAATATGATCAAGTGACATGAGAAGCATGAAAACATGAAAGATTCTGTAAAATGAGGTATAATTGTGCCATGCATGTAGGAATTTCATGGAGCTTAACTCAAAATATGCATGCATGTAAGCAATTCAACTCCATTCTTCCATTTTTATTATATTCATAGCTTCTTTTCTTCAATAACATGCCAATAAGTTCAAAAATGAGAGGAATTCAACTACTATGGCCTCGTTTGGGAAGTGGCTATTTTAGTAGGCTATTTGGCTTTTTGGCTATTTTAGTGGCTATTTTAGTTTTTGTGTTTGGGAAGATGAGATGATTTTTTAGTTGAGTTATTGTATTGAAAAGTGTGTTGAAATGATGTTTAAATTTAAAATGACAAATTTATCCCTAACTTTTTATTTTTTAAATTAATATAAAGGGACAAAATGGCAATTTTGCATTGATGTATAATTTTCCGGCTGTGACAGTGTAGGCACAGCCTACACTGTCCAGCGCAGTACCTATTATTATTATTATTATTTTTTTTTTTTTGAAAACCTGTGAACAGTGCCACTTTTTGGCTTATTTCTCAAATGAGGCTATTTTAGCCTCATTGGCAGCTTCCCAAACAGCGCCTATATGCCATAACTACATGAGTTAGTGATGAATGCCATACCTAGTGTTGAATTCAAGTGTGTTATGGCTCCAATCTTTGAACCTCCCACTAATTCTCTACAATTCTCCTCTTTCTCTCTCTAAATGTTGAACTCTCCTCTCCTTTCTCTCAATTCTCAGCTGAGTGTGTATATAAAATGAGCTCATAAGCTTAATTTGGGTCTTATATAGGATGTGATTAAGTTAGCCTAATCAAATATGGTTAGGGTTAACTAATTAGGCTTAATTCTAACTAATTCAATCAGTTTATTCTAATTATTGGTCCAAATCAAATTTCAATTAAAGTTGCCATAAAATTCCAAATATTCTAATTAGCCTCTTGGCTAGTCAATTTCAGTTTCTGAAGTCGTTTAGGCTCCCAATTTTCGACTCTAAGTCATCAGTTTAAACAAATATTCCATAGATCAATAGATAATTATAGAATTTAACATGTAATCACACAATTAAGCACATAATCATGCAATTAAACTTATTTAAATTATATAATGTACTAGTTTGGAGGTCAGGGTTGTCACAGTCTCTCCCCCTTAGAAAGTTTGGTCCTCCAAACTTAAGTTACCTTCAGATGGAAACAAATGCGGATATCGTTGCCGCATCTCTTCCTCTTTCTCCCAAGTGGTCTCTTTCCCATAATGTTCTCTCCACTCGACCTTCACCATAGGGATAGTTTTGTTTCTCAATTGCTTCACTTTCTGATCAATGATTTGCACGGGCTGTTCTTCATACATCATATCCTCGTCTAGAGCAATTCGGTGGTAATCAATCACATGGAACGAATCTCTAAGATACCCACGAAGCATGGATACATGGAAAACGTTATGCATTTGTTCCATTCCCGATTGCAAGGCAATGCGATAAGCAATGGGACCCAACCTCTCAAGGATCTGAAACGGTCCAATGTAGTGAGGAGGCAATTTTCCCTTTTTACCAAATCTCATATGCATTGGGGTCACCTTGATGAATACATGATCTCCCACTTTGTACTCTAAGTCCCTTCTTCGCTGATCTTCATAGCTTTTCTATCCGCTCTGTGCATTCTTGAGCCTTTGCTGGATGATTTTGATCTTCTCAGTTGTTTCTTGCACAAGTTCAGTCCCATAAATAGCTTTATCACCAACCTCTATCCAACAAACTGGCGATTTACACTTTTTGCCATATAGTGCGTCATATGGTGCCCATACCGATACTCGCGTGAAAACTATTATTATAAGCAAATTCGACCAATGGAAAATAAGTTTCCCAACTTCCCTGAAAATCCAATACACACATACGAAGCATGTCTTCTAAGGTTTGAATAGTTCTCTCAGTTTGCCGATTGGTTTGTGGATGAAATGTTGTACTAAATCTCAATTCTGTTCCCATTACCTCCTGCAAACTATGCCAAAATCTAGAAACAAATTTAGGATCCCTATCTGAAACAATAGACAATGGAACCCCATGTAGTCGAATAATCTCATCAATGTAGATAGTAGCAAGTCTATAAGCAGTAAATGAAGTCTTTACAGCAAGAAATTAAGCAAATTTAGTCAATCTATCAACTATAACCGAAATAGAGTCCATACCTCTAGGTGTCCGGGGTAGGCCAACAACAAAGTCCATGGTGATATGTTTCCATTTCCATTCCGGAATAGGAAGAGACTGAAGCAACCTGCTAGTTTCTAATATTTTGCTTTTACCTGCTGGCATTGTAAGCATTTAGAGTTGGAGTTGGCAATCTCCATTTTCATGTTGGGCTACCAATACACTAACTTCAAGTCTTGGTACATTTTGGTGTTTCCTGGATGCATAGTAAACATTGGCTTGTGAGCTTCCTCCAAAATTTTCCTTTTCAAATCCGCATCATTCGGGACACACAATCTCCCTTGATATTTCAACACGAAATCTTCAATTATGAACCCCGATTTAGGCTTGGTGTCAAGTTCATCATGAATCTTTTTCAAAAACTCATCATTCATCTGTTTCTATTTAATTTCCTCGAGAATAGCAGACTGGGCAGACATTGCAGCCATCAAGCTACTTTGTTCAAAAGGCACTACTTCAATTTCAAGTTTTTCAAACTCCAGTAGCAACTCTTTTTGATCCGTGAGTAAACAGGCAATATTCCCCACATTCTTTCTACTATGTGCATCTGTTACAGTATTAGCTTTGCCTGGATGATAGTGAATTTGTAAGTCATAATCTTTGATTAATTCAAGACATTGCCTTTGATGCATGTTCAACTCTTTCTGTGTGAAGAAGTATTTCAAGCTCTTATGATCTGTGTACACTTCACATTTGGTCCCATACAAATAGTGTCGCCATATCTTTAATGCAAACGCAACTGCAGCAAGTTCCAAGTCATATTTAGGGTAATTTTTCTCGTGTGGATATGCAATAACCTTGCCATTCTGCATTAAAACACAACCCAAGCCCTTATAGGATGCATCACTAAAAATCACAAAATTTTTCGTACCTGAGGGAATAGTAAGGATTGGGGCTGTAGTCAGTCTTGTCTTCAACTCTTGAAAGGTTGTTTCTCTTTGATTCATCCACTCAAATAGTTCCCCTTTTCGAGTCAACTGAGTCAATGGCACAACAATTTTTGAAAAGTCTTTAACGAATCTTGGGTAATACCCTGTCAATCCCATAAAACTATGAACTTCTGATACATTAGTTGGGGTAGGCCAGTTAATAATGGCTTCAATTTTATGAGGATCCACAGATATACCATCCTTATTAATGATGTGCCCCAAAAATGCAATTTCATCAAGCCAAAATTCACACTTTTTGAATTTCCCATACAACTATTTTTCTCTAAGTGTTTGAAGAGTTAGTTTCAAATGTCGTTCATGCTCATCTTTACTTTTCGAATAGATCAAGATGTTATCAATGAATACAACAACAAAGTCATCTAAGAAAGGTTTGAAAATTATGTTCATTAAATCCATAAATGCTGCAGATGCATTTGTAACCCCAAATGGCATGACTAAAAACTCATAATGTCCATACCTGGTTTGGAAGGCAGTCTTTTCAACATCCTCAACCTTAACCTTCAATTGATGATATCCTGATCTCAAGTCAATCTTCAAAAATATCTGTGCCCCCTGCAACTGGTCAAACAGGTCATCAATACGCGGCAAAGGGTATTTATTTTTCACTGTTACCTTGTTGAGCTCTCGGTAATCAATGGATAATCGGAGAGTGCCGTCTTTCTTTTTAACAAAAAGTACCGGTGCGCCCCATGGGGATGTAATTGATCTGATAAACCCTTTATCCAACAATTCCTGTAACTGAATTTTCAATTCTTTTATTTCAGTGGTAGACATACGGTAGGGAGTTTAGAAATTGGTCGAGTTCCTGGTATTACATCAATTGTGAATTCGATTTCTCTATCAATAAGTTGGCCAGGTAATTCATCCGGAAACACATCAGGAAAATCTCTCACCACTGGTATATTGTCTAAAGTAATGTCTACCATTGGTTCGGTTTTCACACTACACAAATACCCTTAACAACCCTTATTCATTAGTTTTCGGGCTTTCATGGCAGATATAAGGTATGGTGGTGAGACTACCCCTTTTCCTTCAAAATAAAATTCCTCTTGCCCGGGAGGTCGGAATATTACTCGTTTCAAGGCGCAATCAATAGTTGCATGGTATTTAGCTATTCAATCCATACCCAAAATAACATCGAAATGTCCTATGTCTAAAGGTATTAAATCAGCATACAAGGTAGCATTCCCGAGAAATAATTCACATGCAATAAATACAGTTGAACATAGCAAGGATCCCCCCGTAGGTGATGCAACACATAGTATATAATTCAATGTTTCCATAGGTCTATTCAAAGTTTCAGCAAAGACCATAGAAATAAATGAGTGTGTAGACCCGGAATCAATTAAAGCATAAGCAGGTTTACCACAAATGGAGATTGTACCTGACACCACGGCCTCAGTTTTCTGAGTATCCCCTGGAATCAATGCAAAAACCCTTCCTTGCCTTTGATCATTTCTTGTGGCAGTTGATGCTGTAGCTGGTTTTTTTGTGGGAGCTGACCCAATCGAGCTTGTGGCACCTCGGTTGCCACTCTGACGTGGTTGTGTACAATCCTTGGCAATGTGCCCAAACTTCCCACAGTGATAACAAGCCCCTGTCGCACGATAGCATACACTTCCATGTTTCTTTCCACATATAGTACAAGCTGGTATTGAATTACCACTTTGGCTTGAACCGGTATTATTAGAACTCCCCGACTTGAACTTCTTGTTCATTGACGTAGTTTCCTTACTAAATTCTATTTTCTTCCTTTCCATTCGAAGTTTTGTTTACGGTTGGCCACATTTCTCTCTGCTATTAGTGCCCTATTAAGTACATCCACATACGTCGGCAATTTGAGTACATTAACCTTATCTAGAATTGGGTCACATAAACCTCCTTCAAACTGTCTAGCCTTCTTGTAATCTGTGTCTACCATGTTGAGTGCAAAGCAAGCTAATTTTGTAAACTGAACCTCATATTCAGCAATTGATTTATTTCCCTGCTTGAGCTCCATGAATTTAGCTGCCCTTTTATCCCTCACATATTAAGGAAAATATTTCTCATAGAAAATTTCCAGAAAACGAGCCCAAGTAACATCCTTATTATCATCTCACACTAACATCCACCAACGTCTGGCATCATCTTCTAGGGTGAATGCTGCTAGTTGCACTTTCTGAGTTTTGGTACATGGGAATACTTTAAACAACTTTTCAATGCCCAAGACCCAAGCTTCGGCCTTCAACGGTTCAATTCCGCCATGAAATTCTGGTGGCTTCATCTTCTTAAATTCCCCGGTCAAGGCAATAGTACAGGTCTCCGGCTGACACCGTGGAGCTAGAGGTGGTACAGGCATTGGAGGTGGGGGAGGTGGTTATTGTTGTTGTTTTTGCCATTGTTGTTGTTGTCTTATGGCTTCAGCCATGTCTTGCATCATTCGTTCCATTCTATCCAGTCTTGAGGAGGTTGCCTCCTCTATTTCATCACCTCTGGTTCTCACCATTTTCTATATGAAACTTTGTATTATAACAAACACAATATATATATATATATACCTATAGTCATGTACACAGTTGCATATATAATCACAAGGTTATCTCACTCAACATATCAAATGCACATGAATGTATTCCTGAAGTCTCTTTTAGACCTTCTATAGCTCAATGGACAAGTGAGTGAGATATAACTCGTGCTCTGATACCACTCTGTCACGACCCAAACCCGCCCCTATATGTTTAGCTTCATGACCGGCCAGTAATCATAGATTACCTACGGCCTCTATACAAATAACCCTTTAATGTAAAGTACGGGGCTTAGCGGAAGTAAAAAAAAATGTTATAGAATTCATCCATTGAGCCATGCATATATGAGGGGAGCAAATATGATAAGCAAGGTTTTGTTTCAAAATTACATCCAATATAAGTACAAATTCATATCTTACAAAATACAACCCCAACTATGTACAAATACAAAACCATTAAACCACACAAAAGGGGTTCGACAAGCACGGCTCCACCCAAGCCTGATTACTTCACTTGGAAGCTCCATAAAAGGCTGACCCGGGTAAACTCGAGGCTATCTAACTCCGATGTTCAGTTTGCCAACCTACAATCACATATATAAATAAATAGTGAGCTAGAGCCCAATGAGTAATAACAGAATAAAGAGGTTAAGTGAATGAAGTTTGACATTTGTACAAAAACCTGTCTTACAATTTCAAGGAAGGCACGCCATATTAGATCAAATTCACAACAAAACATTTTGATTAGCAATAATAGCATCTCTTTGCAGTAACAAAAGTCCTTCGTAATATTATCTGTGGTATATCCATGAAGTGACAAATATTATTCCAATGATAACGTATCATACTAGCTATGGTATTGTTACCCCCAGGCAAAGGCCTAGCCATGGTATTGTTACCCCCAGGCAAGGGCCTAGCCATGGTATTATTACCCCCAGGCAAGGGCCTAACCATGGTACTGTTACCCCCAAGCAAGGGCCTAGCCATGGTATTATTACCCCCAGGCAAGGGCCTAACCATGGTACTGTTACCCCCAAGCAAGGGCCTAGCCATGGTACTGTTACCCCCAAGCAAGGGCCTAGCCATGGTACTATTACCCCCAGGCAAGGGCCTAGCCATGGTACAATTACCCCCAGGCAAGGGCCTATATTCAATGGATGCCACAATATCGTTTCAAAACAGAACTTCATTCATTGAAAAACGTAATATTTCAACGAACCATGCTATCAATTATCAAATCATTTTAAGAATTCATTCAATTAAGCACATATCTTTATAAGGTTATTACTCACAGTGGTTTGCAGTGACACTAAATCTCGGAAGTCCACCTAAATGAAGCACATAACAAAGTACAAATGAAACTCCATTTTATTTTAATTCAATTCTTTTTATGTGTCTCTAACTTATTGTATGATTATCGGAGTCCAAAAGATGCCTAAGAACGCTTGGAGTGCCATAAGGATGCAAATATGCACTTAAAAGAGTTTGTAAAATTTTGCTAAAAATAGGGTCTTTGCTCGAGTGCAACTTCCTACACTCGAGCAGGGGTTCAAAAACAAAGGTGGTTTTCAAGCATAATTTTTGTCACTCAAGCAGTCTATAAAAGTACTGGATACATGAAATTTCCGCTCGATGGTAGCTCGAGCGGAAGACTGAGAAAAAGGGTCCTCGCTCGAGCGCCACTTTGGCCGCTCGAGCAGATTGTAAAATTTTAGAAACTTCTGGGAGCCCGAATTCCACGGTCGAGCGTTGAATCCCTCGCTCGAGCAGACAACACGAATTCTGGAATTTCAAGAACTGTGTTTGAAGTTCAAACATGGTACTCAAAGCTTCAATTCTTGTGTTTTTTGGTATAAAACATGGAGAGTCACTATATAACATGAAAACATTTCCAATTTGAACCTTTTTATTCAAAATCATGGTAATTTCCCAACCAATGACTCCAACCTCAATTTATAAAATAAGTTTAACTCTATTTGAGTGTATATTTCTCCAAAACCTGTTCAAAATATGATCAAGTGACATGAGAAGCATGAAAACATGAAAGATTCTGCAAAATGAGGTATAATTGTGCCATGCATGTAGGAATTTCATGGAGCTTAACTCAACATATGCATGCATGTAAGCAATTCAACTCCATTCTTCCATTTTTATGATATTCATAGCTTCTTTTCTTCAATAGCATGCCAATAAGTTCAAAAATGAGAGGAATTCAACTACTATATGCCATAACTACATGAGTTAGTGATGAATGCCATACCTAGTGTTGAATTCAAGTGTGTTATGGCTCCAATCTTTGAACCTCCCACTAATTCTCTACAATTCTCCTCTTTCTCTCTCTAAATGTTGAACTCTCCTCTCCTCTCTCTCAATTCTTAGCTAAGCGTGTATATAAAATGAGCTCATAAGCTTAATTTGGGTCTTATATAGGATGTGATTAAGTTAGCCTAATCAAATATGGTTAGGATTAATTAATTAGGCTTAATTCTAACTAATTCAATCAGTTTATTCTAATTATTTTGGTCCAAATCAAATTTCAATTAAAGTTGCCATAAAATTCCAAATATTCTAATTAGCCGCTTGGGCTAGTCAATTTAGTTTTTGAAGCCGTTTAGGTTCCCAATTTTCGACTCTAAGTCGTCAATTTAAATAGATATTCCATATATCAACAAATAGTTATAGAATTAAACTTGTAATCACACAATTAAGCACATAATCATGCAATTAAACTTATTTAAATTATATAATGTACTAGTTTGGAGGTCAGGGTCGTCACAAAACAGCTTGGGAGCACCTTTTATAAACTTTGAGAAGCAGTAGTGCATAATAGTTGTACAACACTGACCGACCTCATTTTTGGGCCCGATCGTGCCTCATTGAAGCCCAGTCGTTCCTATTTAGACCTAGCCGAGTCTAAATGTTGGCCTAGGTCAGTGCAATTGCAGAAAGGTTCTGGCCTTTGCTTCCGTGTACTATAGCTGTATTTTGAGTCCTGTTTTATTTATACCAAGTGTTTTTTAGTATTTTTCGAGTTATTCTCATTTTGTTTTCATGTTATCAAGTTGCATTTTATATTTTGACCAGTTGTATGTTATTATCTGATTCAAGAACCAATTCAAGAGCAAGCATTCACAGTTGCTAACAGTCTTGTACAAAAGTGTTATGCAAGTGTCATTCATTCATCACATATCAGGCGAGAAAATCACTGCAAAAATCTGTCTTTTTAATTGGTCTGTCCAACCCCAATCATTATTTACAGAGACCAAAAACAAAAGAAAAGTCTTCAAAAACCAAAATACATAGGTTCATCTGAAGCTATATAGTTCCTAACTACCAAGCAAAAGAAAAAAATTCAAGAACCCATCCTCGCTCTCTTCTTCCTCAGCTGCGAAAGAGGTGCGTCACTGTCATCACTAGGACTGCTAGACCGTATGTCAACTGCCTCCCTCTCCTCCTCAGAGGTCGCGTACTCCTTGAAACACTCCTCGAGAGGAGAGTGCTATCTCACTCTACCTCTTCTCCAGTCAGCTCCTCTCCTACCCCTCACTGGGCCCCATTAACATCTCCTAGTTGATAGAGATCTTGCAAATGCAACTAGTGCTGGCTCAAGCTGAAAGAAGAAAGGAAATAGAGAGATTACAAATATCAGAAGAGATCAACATAGTTGTAAGCAAGATTGTGATGACTGTAAACTAGGGGCAAAGTATACCTCAATCCCATGGATAGCTAGAGCAATTTGTCTCCTCCATACCATCAAGAGCAGTCTGTCAACTGTCCGGAGGAGGTCATCTACATATCCCGCAGGCACCTGTAAAAGATGTGAGAATATGAGACAAGATAATGGTATGCAGTGAGTAGAAAGTAAGCATCGTGGACATTAGCGGAAAGTGCAGTGGGTAGAAGTATAAAGAAGTGTGTACCTGCTCAATGGTGGAGGCAAGCACCAATCTGTGATCCCTCTCCTCAATATGCTCAAGGGGAATTTGCTTAATCACCCCATTTGGCCGCATGTATATGACCTCAGTCGGAATCACAAGAAGCCCGGGAGCGGAGTGGTGGCAGAAGCGCCTCTAACAGCAACAACAACAACCTCTGGAATGGCATAGGCCACGCCCAGGGTAAGGAGCACCATCACCCGAGTATATAAGAAGGCAATGAAGTCGTTGGGCTCATGGTACTGATCACCATCCTCCCCTAACATAAGGAAGTCAACCTGGGGTCCATCACGAAGATCATCAACTACCCTCTTGCCGGGAGAAGGAGGATGAGAAATGTTTAGATCAGCTACGTCTCGTGTCTGACAGATGAACCACTCTCCCAAGTAATATGTCCTGTCGAAGGGGCCCCCAAATAGAATTCGCATGGTGGAGGCATGCTATGCAGCAACGTAGGTCATCCTCGCTGCCTGAGGAATACCTACCCAGGGGTGCCAGTCAACCTATGGAAGCAGATGTCATATGTCAAAGATCTAAGTAGTATTGAACCACAGTATGGAAACAACGGTATAAGAAGCAACATTATGAGAATGACAGTGCAGTGCAGAAACAATACAGTATGAGAATGACAGTGCAATATGGAAACAGTGATCGTGTCAAAGAAACGGCAAAAGTAAGGGAAGTCTCAGTCTATGCGGTGGCGTCTCTCAAATCAAGAGTTGTAGTACCGGGACTGGGGTACTAACAACTCAATCGGCCTAACTGGGACCAGAGCCAAGGAGGTGAAATACGTGTAAACCCATAGCTGCAAGCAGAAAGACATGGATGAAGTAATAAGCATATGAACAAAAAATGAAATGCAAAGTTGAACAGAATACAAAGTCGAATAGAAAGTAAGAA